TAATAATAATAATAATAATAATAATAATAATAATAATAATAATAATAATAATAATAATAATAATAATAATAATAATAATAAAAACAACTGCCAGCCCACCTATCACACAAGAGCGCCTTGGTGCTGCTACCTCCATCCAGCATCTCTGCGCCTATCGAAGCAGTGCGACGAGTTCACGACAAGCAATTCCATCGATGGCCACCGCACATCAACCTGCTGTACCCCTTCTTGTCGACTCCTTCTGAACAAAGCACACAAGATGAAACCTCCAGTCCTGAGCTGAAGCGCGACATACGCATGCGGGTGGAAAAGGCAGTGCAGAACATCAATTCTTTCCGCATATTTCTCGGTTCAAATCCGCCTGGTGTTTTTCATCACAGCAAGAAGAGCAAGACGGTCTGGCTTTGCCCTACCACTCACCTTGTACAAGAGCTTCAGGCAGCTCTACAAGCCGAGTTTTCCGAAGTCGATTCTGACCGTCGCCCTTTTACGCCTCATCTTTCTGTAGGACAAGCGCATAGCCAGGATGGCGCAGGAACGCTTAGCGCGGAGATCACAAAGAGCGTCTCTGAGTTCATCGCCCAGGATACGAACAAAGACAACGCGCCGATAGAATTAGAATGGCACGTGGACAGAGTTTATGTCATTGAGCGCAAGGGCTTTAACGATCGTTTCAAGATTATTGGCAGTATTGACCTAGGAAAAGAGTAACATGCACCCACATCAGTGCTTAGCAAAGAAATCCCTCAGCTCATTGTCCAACCATTTGACATCCTCTGTCGACTGTCCTGGTCCACCGGCCCTAGTATATTCGTCAGTTACGAGACATGGCTGTTTGTAGCTGGTAACCTCACCAATGTCCCCAGATGGATGGGAAGACCTTCAATGTTCCCACACCGGGACTCATGTTTTGGACCTCAATCTCAGAGTCTTCGGGCGGGAAGTAGAGATCTGTCTTTCCAGGAAGAACCAGCGTCTTTGCCTTGATGCCCTTCATCGCCTTTTCAAAGTCCCCATTATACGGCTCTTGCTGTGAGCAATCGCCCGCCTGCCACGTGTGCGCCATGACCAGCATGTTCTCTGGGTCTTTCGACAACGCCCATGCCTCCCAGAAGTTGACAAGAAAGTCGTCCAGGTTCTTAAAACCAAGCGTTGGTGCGCTCTCATACAGCTTCTCACGGTAGAAAGCTTGGGAGAAGCCCCAGCCGGCGTACACGCGCCCAAGGGCCTTGAGACCAGCTTCTTGTGTCTCGGAGGAGAATGTCACTTTCTTGCCATTTGCAGTGTAGAGATCTGGCTTTGAAACTCCCGCCGAACTGGTGCCCAACGCGGCATAAAGACTGCTTTTGACACCCTCCAAGAAGACTTGATTGTGCAGGCTGGTTTTTGCGCTTCCACAAAACGGCACAGCAATGTCCATGAAGTCGGGGAACTGCGTGGCCCATTGGTACGTCTGGCCCGCACCCATGGACCATCCGAGCACTGCACGAGCATGCTTGATACCTAGATGCTTGGTCACAAGCTCATGTTGAGCGCGCACGTTGTCGTAGAACAGCACCTCAGGAAAGGGACGCAGAGCTGGCATGTTGGATGGCGATGAAGACTGACCATTGCCAAAGAGAGCCGGCATGATGATGTAGTACTTGGAAGGGTCAAGCGTCTTATCTGGACCCGTAAGCCAGATATTGTCGGATATGGCTACAAGCAAATAATCAGCAACTGCATAACCACGATTTAGTGCACTTTGCCTACTTCCAGAATACCATGTTGGATAGATGACGGCTGGGAGCGACGGATCGCCGAGTGTCTTATACGCTATGAAAGCATCTGGTATCTCGCCTCCGGATTTGAGCTTGAAGTTGCCTAGCTTGTAAGTCTGATAGTCCTGATCCGACGACATGTTGAATGCGATGTCAAGTGTGCGGATCTTGAGCAGTGTTCATGAAAAGAGAGTACTTGGACTGCTATTTGCACGTCCAGAGGCAGAGTTGGAGATTGACCATCTGTCCTGCAGACGATAAGCTTCCTTGGAGATGACCTCCAATTGTCTGTAAGCGGTTATCTTGATATCATCAATAGCGGGGTAGTTCGGGGGTATGTCGGGAGTAACGTGACATTGGGGATGCCCCTCACTGACTGTCCTTTGGAGGGGAGCGTGCCGTGTATAGCCGCACGGTCACAGTATTCGGTAGTTCCCAACGTGACTTGAGCAGTCTGGTCTCACGCCCGCCTGCAAAAACGGCACTAGAGCATGATGCAATTGCCTTGCAAACGTCCCGGTCGGCATTCCGCGGTCGCCCCAGGCTTTTTCGCACATGACGGAATTACACCCGCCAATTGCCGTGCGAGAAGCCTTCGCCATCGCTTGATCAGCTATTACTAAGTAAACGACGGTACGTATTTCAGTCCAACATATGTAGCAGAGGCCGTAGTGATCCACGACGACACCAGTTTTGCCTCGCCCACTACCACCAGCACTGCCATCTCGACTCACAGACAAAAGCCCCGTCGTAAAGGAAAGCCAAGCCCCGCATCATCATGGCTACCGGACGCGCAGACGCGGAAAAAGAAATCAAACGCAACCCTCACCCCGACTTCAAGGCCGTCGAGGCCTCACGCCCACCCTTTGACAAATCAACTTCATTCCACTACACGCAAACGCCCAAGCCCGACTGGACGCCCGGCAGCGGCGCCAACACAGCGTCTGACGCAAACAAGCAGCACCGCTCGATTGATCCGTACGAGCAAGGCCGCCCCGTAGTCCACAACTACAAGCTGCTCATTTCGGCCGTTGTGCCGCGCCCCATTGGCTTTGTGTCGACGGTGAGCGCTGACGGGACATCGACCAACCTCGCGCCCTTTAGCTACTTCAACCTCGTTGGGCATGACCCGCCCATGTTTGTCCTCGGCTTCTCAGGCGGCCTCGGCAAGGCAAAGGACACGCTGCAGAACCTGCTCGACACGGAGGAGGCGACGATTAACATCATCTCTGAGGACTTCATCGAAGCGGCAAACTTCACCAGTACCAATGCGCCGCACGGCATTAGCGAGTGGAGCTTTAGCGGGCTGCATCCTGAAAAGAGTAAGATTGTGAAGCCCGATCGTGTCAAGGAGGCCGTGTTTAGCATTGAGGCCAAGCTGGTGGAGAAGTACGAGTGGACGAGCAGGAATCCCGAGACGCCGGGCAAGAAGACGGGTGTTACGGTTTTTGTCGAGGGTGTCAATTTTTGGGTCAGAGAGGATGCCATTGATGAGCAGGGCATGTTGGTTGATCCTGCTGTGAGTTTGCACATCATCCTTGTAAGCTGAGTGAGCTGACATTTGATTGAATAGATTCTCAAGCCAGTCTCCAGATTGGGTGGCATTACATATGGACGCACAACACAGGCATTTGAGCTTCCTCGACCGGATTACGACGAGGCTACCAAAGACCCGGAGGTCAAGAAGCTGGCACAGCCCAAGGGCCAGGGCCAATTATAGACATGGAAACGGACATTTAGACATTTGGAGTCCAACAAGAAAGGATTAGAAAAATAAACACGTACTTGAATGTTCTAAGTCTTGTGTTGTTATTATCTATCTACACTCCATGACTCTTCTCTTCCTTTTTTACCTACCAAGATTTGGGCTCTATTCATTTCGCTCCTTGGCATCTTCAGCCGCCTTGGACCAATCATACACCTTCAGGTAGATGCCCTCTGATATGGTGATGCACGAGCTACCGACAGCACAGCCGGCCCAGAGGCCAACCAGTTTCAGATCGCGTGGAAAGCAAAGGAACAATGCCAATGGCACGGCAACAATGTAGTACACAAACAAGTTGCACCAACCGCCAATATTCTGCTTACCCAGGCCACGCAGCAGTGCGTTGACCATGGCAGTCGTCGAGTCTGCAAACTGGAACGCAGCAAGCAAGGGGAGCACGGTGGCAACAATGGTTACAACTTCTGGGTCGCTAGTGAAGGCGCGGGGCAGGATGTTGTGGAATGCAGCCAAGAAGGTGAAGTCGACGAGGCCAATGGCAAAGAAGGTTGCAATATACGTTTTTGTAGCCGTGCGGGCTGCAGAAAGCGAGCCTGCGCCGATGAGATTGCCCAGGCGGGTGGAGACTGCGACGCCCACACTGAAAGGAACATGGTACATCGCCACGGCGAGGGTCATAACACTGCAAATGGTTGGTTAACTTGAGTCTGGGAGGTTTCGAAAGGGTGCGGGGAGTTACATTGATTGCGCGGCTAGATGGGCGGTGGAGAGATAGGTCGTGGAGAAGGTGAGGACATCCTAGGACAATTAGCATACTCGGCACAAAGTTGTAGAGTAATCGCTTACGAATGCAAGCCACTCGGTTTCCACCATAACAATACCTGGTACTGCTAGCTTAGCCATGGGCCCCCAGTTTGTAAAGGCAGCTTTGGTGAAACCGCCCCAGCATTCCATTGATGCGGGGTTAACAAAGTAGACATATATCCAGAGGAGCAATGGCAAGAGATTGTTCGACACAACGGTTGCAAGTGCGGCGCCGGTAAGATTCCAGTGAAAGACAAAGACAAACACGTAGTTGAGAGCAATGTTGACCGGCGTTGCAATGAGAAGAACGAAGAGGGAAGCATTGAAGAGGCCCTGGGCTTGCGTAAATCTTTTGCCAGCCTCAAAGATTGCGTATCCCGGTGCGCCGGCGAGCAACAACGAAAGATAGTAGCCGGCGAGATGAGCCATTGCTTTCTCGGGAACGAGGGCTGCAAGAATCCAGCCCGAGCATAGCCAGACGGCACCAATGGGAATCGTGGCAGCCAACATGAACAAAACCATACGCTGCAGGTGGAGGCCGACCATGGTCTTCTTGCCGGACCCATAGGCCTGCGCACAGAGGGTATCCAGCGACGTTGCGAGGCCCTCGTAGATTGCAAGTCCCGTGATGTTGGCCGTCATGGTGGCGAGAGAGACAGCTCCCAGCTCATGGGTGCCAACTAGGATGAATACGTCAGCTTGTGTCTCGGCTATTGTCGCACCAGACGCTTACTATGACCGACCACGAATACCGTGACGAGGCTGAACGAGTACTGCAGCAGATACGTGCCCATTAGTGGGACGCTGTACTTGAACAACAGCCGTGCCTCTTGGCCAGCCGTCGTCTCCAGCTCGCCGGCACACGCCTCTGTGCCGAGCAGGCTCTCAATGTCGGACGGGGCAGAGATGGCGCCATAGTGCAGCTGTCTTGCCCCGTTGTCGTGAGTCCGTAGCAGGCCGACGCGCTCCGCCGTGCTCGTGGAGAAACGGCGGGCATCGGTGGCGTCCATTGTGTATGCAGCGCCGCCAGAAGTAAAGGGAAACGGAACAAAGGCCAGGGCTAGAGACGAGATGTCATAGTCGTGCTCGCGATGGGCGGCCTGGGAGGCGGGTGTGACTTTGTTCTGGTGTTTGGAGCTTATTTTTGGGCGTGGCTGCCACAGTGGGGCGATGAGCTGAGCCTCTGGGCCTTGTGCCTGGGCCGTTGATGGCGCGTGTCGGGCCATGGGGGGGCTTGCAGCGAAGCAGTAAGGCGTCAGAGACCTAACGGGGGCCGAAAAGCATAATGTGCTTGCGCGCGCCTGGGTGAGCGGAGGGGCTCCGCGAACGGTGGCCGGAAGGGGGAATCGTGTTCCAGTGCCCGTCTGCGAGTCGGCTCTCGGGTTTTCTTCATGCACGTATTTTCTTTTCCCCGTACCGTCCTGCGCTTGTCGAGCCCGCCATGTTTACTGCTTATGCTGCTGGCCATTGCCCGTCGCAACGCTGGGCCGTGTCGTGCGCCAGTGGTTGCGAAGGCTGTAAGCAGCGTCAGCCGAATCGGAAGGCTTACCATTGGTTGCTCCGAGGACACATCCGAGGTGCATCACGTGCCCACCCCCCACCTACTACCCACCACTCAGTACCGCCTCATGTGCAGGGCGGAGTGTCTCGTCATACTTCTTCACCCAACCAGGCTTGTCCACTTCAAACACGGTGCCGGCGCTGAGATGCGAATGGTTTTAAAAAGCACCTCTACCTTCACCCGTCGGTGGCTACGCTGGAGCAAGCGAAAAGACAAAGATGACGCTCCCCAGAGGCGCAGTCAGCCGCAACTCTTTGATCCGACAATGGCTTGTGTCGAGGCACCGGCGTCCCCTATTCTTATCCCAGTTATACTTTTGGCAATTCAACTTAACCTTCAGCCTGAAGTATGTCACCCGTCTTATGTAATTGGCCTTTCAAGACGTGGCAGTCAACCGACCACCAGCCCATTTTCTGAATGGTCTATCTGCTTCTCTAGTCTGCTGATTATGATATTGACTAGCAGCATTTCTGCAGTAGCCACGCGTCAAACTTGTCAAGATTAGGCACAGGCTCGTGTTCCATGGCGTGGCCTTTCACTGTGTATCCTGAGCGCCCAAACTGTTCGCCGACGCGGCAAAACTATGCTTTCTGACACGAACTTTGTAATGGAACAGAGGTGATTGGCTGGCTTTGGTTTCATCTTAGTCGAGCAGCGTCTACATAACAAAGGGGGGAGGCTACTGCGATTCTTGCGAGTAGACTATCCCTTTCGCATCCTTCGTTTCTCCTATTGTACCTTGGCCAAGATGAGGTATCCCAGCATTATCTCTTTGCTTCCCTACTATTTAGGCAAGTCAGACGAACCCCCACGTCTTTATTGAAAATTACAATGCGGGAACCAAGACTAATGCGTAATGTCATGAACAGCGTTCTCGTCTCGTTTCGTGGCTTCAGCTGTAACAACAGCCAGAGATGGCTTTCCATCCGCAACATACATCCAACGCACTTCTCAGGGCAACCTCACATTTGCTCTGAGTGCCGTCAACGACACAGGAGACACTTTTATCCACCTGTCTGGACCCACAGCATACCAATGGATCGCCATTGGCACAGGGTCCCGGATGCGCGGCAGTGTCATGCTCATTGTGTACAAGAATGAAACTGGAGGTAAGTCTATGACATGTCTACCCGCTAGACCTAAGCTTAGACAAGCAAGGCATCACACTCTCGCCGCGCCTAGCCCCTGGGGAGATACAACCAAGCTACAGTTCCACCATCGACTGCAAGTTGCTAGCGGGGGGCATATCTCAGCAGCCCAGTCAGTCAACAACCAGCAGCAGCACGTCAGCTTCCAGCATATTCTCGGCAGATGTACATTGCACAAATCTGCGCTCGCTCGGTCGCGACAGCGGCAAAATCTCCTTTACAGACTCGAACCAGCCCTTCATCTACGCCCTCGGCCCCGACTCGGCCCCGCTCACCAGCAACTCTGTCTCTGCAAACATCCAACAGCATGACTCGTACGGCACATTCTCACTCGACATGGTCATTGCTACGTCTGCCTCGTCGAAGAGCACAGGTGGCCAGGAAGTCGGCGTGCCCACTGGCAGTGCACTCACATCTAGCCAAGGCACTTCGGGCGGCAGGGGAGGCGGCGACGGTGAAGGCCTTGACAATACACACGCTGCATTCATGCTCGCCGCCTTTGTCATTCTGTTTCCCCTTGGCGCCGTGCTGCTCCGCTACGTCAAGAACGGCGTAAAAGTACATGCGGCAGTGCAGAGTATAGCTCTCGTCTGCACGGTCATGGGCGGCGCAATTGGCATCAAACTAAGCTTGAGGTCGCCGGCTGTAAGTTTACTCTCATTTCCCCAGTCTCCATGCGCCGTACTAATCGTCTAGAACGCGTCCTTTGACGACCCGCACCAGGTCCTTGGTCTGATCATCTTTGTGCTCGTCTTCGTCCAGTGGGGCCTCGGCCTGGTGCACCACCTACGCTTCCGAAGATACATGCAGCCGACGGTGCTAGGCAAGATCCATCGCATTGTCGGGCCAGTCGTGCTCTTAATCGGCTTCGTCAATGGCTTTTTGGGTTTCCGCATGACTCACGATGAGCATAAAATCAAATGGCTAGGTGGTGTTGTTGGTGTTGTTGCACTTGCTACGACTGGCTTGCTGGTATGGAAGCAAGTGCAGAAGAGGAGTGTGAAGCAGGACCCAGCCTTGGAAATGATGAGAAAATGAAGTCGGCGAGGCTAAGCAGGGAATAAGCTTTGTCTTGTAGGCGAGGTATTGGTGGTTGACAGACGTTGTCAGTTTCCGTCTCATCACATTCATTCGATTCGATTTAATTCAATTCGATATGCTGTAGGAAGAGTTTCTGTTTTGAGAACAGAGCAGTACCGATAGCAATGATATCTTGCTGGATATTTTACATCGACTTCTACCCAATACACTAACAAGCACAAGCACACGTGCATACCACTCACAACCCTGACCTGTGTAAAGCGCCCGACAGGGCTACTCCATGCTAAGCTGATTCGGCGTAGTCTGGCAATACCTACATATTTGCCACCACACAAAACGACTATTCCACAGTGGGAAACTGGCATTACGTATGCACTCGATGGTGGTGATAGCAATAGTGATAGTGATAGCAATAGTGATAGCACGCCATATCCTGCCACCATCATGACATAAGCCCACAACCACAACGACTTGCACCAAACAAACCAGCCACGTCATTCGAGCACTCCACTTTATCGTCGTAGCCATACATACACCTACACGGCTCGAAAAACAGAGGGAAAAAGCGATATACTTACTACCAGTTGCCAGCTTATCTTATGACACCACAATCTCACACACACAAATGCATATCTACACCTACACCGAGTAGGTGTGAGAGAAAAAAAAAAGAGAGAAGTGGCAAACTCACGTCACCCCATCCATCACGCACACGCGAGCACATCACCATCATCACGATCCATCACAATAGCCACGGCGCGCCTTACTTACAGTACTTACTTAGCTCCGACCCCGCGCCGACGCGCCGCCGCCTCGCTCCAACGCAAACGCAGTAAGCCGATCCCCCGTGAGCCCTAGGGCGTAGACGCGCGAACGCCGTTGCTCCCCCCCCGTCTCCAATAGGACTGGACGTAGCGAGTCCCTTGGCCCTTCTTACTCGTCATAGGTGTAAGTAGTCGTGTGTGGTGCCAGTGCTAAAAACCGAGAATTCACCCGGTGGTAATTCTATCTAAGTACACCTATGTGTGTATGTGTGTATATTTCCGCTCATCCATTTTTAGTCCATCATCTCACTTACACTTACTTGGCTTTAGAAGGGGGAAAAAGGGTAAAGTCAGTCTTTTGCCACATACGTGTGTAAAGAGGTAGGGGTTGCGGTGAATTTTCACTCTCTCTCTCTCTCTCTCTCTCTCTCTCTCTCTCTCTCTCTCTCTCTTTTTTTTTTTTCCTTTCCCTTTTCCTTTTCCTT